TACTGGTATCTTAACATTGGCTTCTAACGTAATGTAATAACTAACACTGTGGCAAGACATATTTACCGCTGTTTACATTACATTAGAGTTATTTGTACTGGTATCTTAACATTGGCTTCTAACGTAATGTAATAACTAACACTGTGGCAAGACATATTTACCGCTGTTTACATTACATTAGAGTTCTGACTCCCACCTCAGACATGGAACTTTGCAAATCTTTCCAAGTCTCTTTTGGCTTCACTGTAGCATCCCTAATCAGTTTCCTGCTTGTCCGGTTTCTTAGTTTAGAATGGCGGCCTAATATGGGTAGTGATTGGGTGATATGAAGCACATTCCACTTCTTGATGATGGACTTCAGAGTACTCAAAGGGATAATCAGCGACTTTGAAATTTTCTTGTAACCTTCTTCTGATCTGTGCTTCTCTACCACTTTATTCCTTTCGCATGACACCTTGTGACAGAAAGGAACAACAATGATGCTCCCCTAGTTTTAGAAAGCATGTAAAAGTATATACATTATCGTACCAATTACGTATTCCAGGAGTGAAGTTATAGTATGCATAAACAGTAGTCATTTGTTAAACCAATGACAGTTGTATCTATGGATGAGTTGATTGTATTGATCCATGGTCCATATTTTGCTGATGGGCAAAATAATGATGCAGCATTTGGTTATTGCATATTCCAAAATTATTTTTTAAACATTCACTGCTGGATAAAAACAACATGACATGGCTGTTATAGATAGAGATTTCAGGAATGCACTTGATTTCCTTCAGGTACTACACCTCAAAACTGAGATGCCATCTCATCTACAAAAAAGGGCGAAACTAGCATCATAACGAGAAATTAAATCTTTCAAGGTTTCCAATAAGCATGCAGTGTGTGGCAGAAACAATAAAGGTCGCATGCAATAATGGAAGCTAAGTTATAGGGCATAGTATTTAATAACCTATAGATTCCTTTTATAAGAGGTAATGTAAGAATTGTTAATTTCAAATGCTACCAGTTCTGTTTTCATACAAATAACAGAAGCTGATTCTACTTTGACTCAATGCGTGCTAGCACATCATTAGCAACTTAACACAATGCATTAGATTGTATGATAAAGGTTAATGATGAAAAAAACCTTGGACTTTTCAACGTTGTCTGAAGAATCTCTGTGACCTCTGACCGAGCATATATCAACTGAAACTTACTGGTATTATATACACAATAACAGGAGTTAGTAATAAAAGTGATGGTTTCCGAGTAAAGATTCAGTTCCGTCACGTTTCAAGAATGTGCTCTCTTTGGATTCGTCGTGACTGTGTAAGCCTGTTACTGTATGTGTTACACAGTTGGATACTGTGCACACATAGAGTCAGTAACTCAGTTCTGGCAACTGAAATGGCACAGGGAATACAGGCTTGTAAGACTTGTTTCCATACATGAAGGTGTTAAATATGCTGTAACAACCATTAATGACATTGTCGATGAATTGAAAAAAAGACTAAACGCAGAACGTGAATATTTGATGTGCGCGGTATTTGAAATATATACTTTTTATCGGTGAGTTGTTCCCAACATTAAAGTAAATATGCAACTAAGCTTTGATGTGATCTTTAACGTTCAAACTTCATATAAAACAAGACGAAAATCGTGTTTTACGAGCTTGTCTCAAGCTACTCTATTTAATAATTTTTTTATCTGTTGAACAAAATCAAACTTTGTAAATTCACGTAAATCTAATAACAAAACATAAAGAGAGAGACCTAGAGATTTTAGAAACATACTGCTACTTATTAGTAAAAAAAAAAAATATTTTTTTTGCGTAAGGGCTGAGTATGGCTTACTGGTTAGCATGCGGTTTGTTCGAACTGGGATATGATTCTGAACACTCTTCGCACTTTCAGCTGTGAAAGTGTTATAGCCTTGAGATTTAACACCTTATTCAGTTAAAATTTCTTGTCTAGCCAGCAGTTACAGATTAGCGAAGACTTAGAAATTAGGGACGCCTAGTACAGATAGATCTCGAGTAGATTTGCGTCAAAATCTAACAATTTCTTAAACTTCAAATTCAATAGTTTGCGTGACCAATGTTTAACGATAGGCCCAACATTATAAATAAACCACGTCTAACAGATATGCCCACCCCCGGTGGGTTACCGATAACTTTACGGACTCACAACATTAAAATCCGGGGTTCGGTTCCCCGTAGTAACAGATAACTCAATGTGGCTTTGTTCTAAAACAAATCTAACAAATATTCCACTTATTTTCTAGTTTTGCGTCTCTATTTCTTTTTCGAAAACAAGCTTGATATCTACAGTACTGAACAAAGAGGTTGACATTAATAAACAAAATGAATAAATTGTGCACTGAATACGCGATAAATGACAAATATATTCAATAAACTATTACTTTATTAACTGTTTGACTAGTTACCTCTAGCCTAGTTAATTCTCGTTTTTTATAAGTGGTTCAAATTATTTCCTGAAGTGCCTCCTAGTGGCACTTCTATAAAACGGTAATTCTGGCGGCTTAAAACGCTAAAAACCGAGTTTCGATACCCATGATGGGGACAGTACAGATAGCCTATTGTATAGCATTGTACTTTACAAACAAACAAGCTTCCTGAATTCTGGAGAAAGTTCCAGACACTAAGGCCACGCCCATCACCTTATCTAAAACAGGAATGAAAGTTTTAAGAAACGCTTGGAGGTAAAAACAGAGGTTGAATAAAGGTTAAAACAACATATATATATATATATATATTGGGTGGTCTAAAAACGAATCCACATTAAATGTGGAAAAGTGATAATTTCTTTATACGCTATCTCGACATTTTCAAACAAGATAAAAAAACCATACCAATAAACGTTTACTTTTATGCAAATAGAGTTTAAGATAATTTCTCCGAAAATGATAAGTGAAGCGGTAAATATAGCAGAATATTTGATCCAATTTCGAATTTATGAATAAAAAAACACATTCTGCTTTATGAATGTTGTGTTATGCTTATGATAATATCACAAGAAAATTGTTGAATATGTAACAACACGTTATTTCTGATACATTTCTAAAAAGTTCATAAACGTATGAAGATGAGCTTTGAGTTTGCTATGAACACAACTATTATACAACACAATCGTGTATTACAGCACAGTGTGTTTATACGTCTTTTAATATATTAATCAACGTTTAGCTTTATTCTTACAATATATATGTGTGTATATATATATATAAATGAGAAAACAACAACAAAAAACAAACAAGCCCAAACAAAAAACAAAATTAAATTAAAGACGCTGCATAAATTAAAAGGACCCCCCCAGGGAACAGGCTATAATGTTGGATATAAAATGTGCCCTGGATTTTGGAGGTGACTGCGGATGTAGGACCCGCATTGCGATGGGGATACATCATCTATCAGTTTTAACCTCTTTCTTCATGCAAGACTGGTGAACGGAGGTAAAGACTAATTTTTTTGTTTGGACTTGTTTATGTTCATTTAAATGTCATTTATTACAGGTTTGGATTTATTGTTTTTAATCCGTTTGGTTGTATTTTGCTTGACTGTTTAAGTCTTAATTTTTTATATGTATATACACATAATCATAATTCTACATGTTTATATATATATATATACATGCGAAACGATTTAAATATGTATTCCGACAAACATAATTCAAAATATGCAGCTTATAATTTGGGTGTCTAAACTATTGTACCAGGGACAAAGAAAGATAATATATTGAATTTTATAATTACTTACCTTGTGAAGAGCTCAATGCTGAAAAACACATAATCTCCATTCTGGACCATGTTTAGATCTTCGGCTGCTAAGAGGATTTCTCGAACGGTATCTGGCGATCCGCAAACCAGAATTACTGAAACATATATATCGTAACATACTTTAAAGAATACCATACACATCGTAATATATATATATATATAGTACAGATCTATAAGTGTGTTTATAGGATATAGAAGAATCTAAGAATCTTATATATATATATATTGTGAACCATGGTGTCTGTCCGAGCATTCGTATGTATCCTGTTACGGCAGCCGCAAAGCTCAACATTCACTTTTGAAATGATGGAGGAACAGGCATGAATAGCGTTGATGTGAAATTTCATTTAACAAGCAGGATATTCAACACTATATTATTAGGAATTAATCACACTATCATTCACATTTCAAAATGTGTCGTAACTTAAAATGTAGATTTACCGTATGTTATTGTTGAGCGGCTCTTAGCATGACTGAAATGCTCAACAATTACTTTTCGCTGTGGGCGGTATAAGTAGCTCAATAGCTTTGGCTCTGAGTGAAACCAAAAGTACAACACAATTAACCTTTCTAATGTCCATGAAATAATTTAAATTGAGAGATTAACTTAAATTTTTCTTGTCACTGGGGACGGGTACTTTTGCTTGTTACTGATGAAAAGAAAGGAGGATATAAACAAAAAAGATATAACAAAATATTACAACCCTTATTGCAAAAATACACAACGAAATAAGATATGGTTGTAAGACTTTCAGGTTTTAGTTATTAAGTTTTTTATTTAGCTTAATAACCTTTAAACACTTTTCAAATTGCCTAGGTATTTGAAATAATACACGTTTTTTAGATTATTTAACTGCTTGATTATCTAGAACTAAAATGTATGTATAAGGACAGTGTGCTGCTTAGAAGTCACAAAAGTTAGGTTTTCATACGAAAAGTCAATTTTTTTTTACTTCAACCAGAGACAAATATATATAAGGTCAACGTTTACAAGTTAGTATGTTATAAACTTTACCGCCAGATGTTAGAGAACATTGATTATTTATTTCAGACTTTTCTCGCAAAGCTACACAAAGTGCTTTCTGCGCATGCTCATATACAATTTTGAACTGATAGACTAAAAAGAAAAAGAAATAGCACACTGCCAACGCTTGGGTTTGGGCCACACCGGGTCCCCAACTCTTGGGCCACTCGTATCTAAATAAACAACGAGATTTGACCGTTACTTCTCTGGCTCGGCCACGGCCCTAACTGCGAAACGCGTCTATCGCAAGGGGGTCGTGAACCGTGAACTACTCGAATTCACAGTCGGAGTATGCTATTCATTATGCCCATCGGTAAATATAAAGGATCTTTGTTTAGGACACAGTTTATAGTTTTTATTACCGACAAATTAGTAAATACATCAAGCATCAGCCATCATATATTTTCAGAGTAGATGTAAAAGTAAATTCTTAAACTTTCTACATGATTAAGTACAGATGGTCAGTTACAGATTTTAGAAAAACACATCAGTTAGGTGCACTGTTAAATGTCATCTTTTCCCATATAAAACGCATAAATTAGCTGCAGTTTCTTGGTGAATCTCATAATGGTTCTATAACTGCATTCAAGTGATAAGTGCCATATTTTCTCATATAAAAACACATAAATTAGCTGCAGTGCTAAATGCCATCTTTTTCCACATAAAAACACATAAATTAACTGCAGTTTCTTGGTGAATCTTATAATGGTTCTATAACTGCATTCAAGTGATAAGTGCCATATTTTCCCATATAAAAACACATAAATTAGCTGCAGTGCTAAATGCCATCTTTTCCCATATAAAAACATATAAATTAACTGTAGTTTCTTGGTGAATCTCACAATAGTTCTATAACTGCATTCAAGTGATAAGTGCCATATTTTCCCATATAAAAACATATAAATTAGCTGCAGTTTCTTGGTGAATCTCACAATAGTTCTATAACTGCATTCAAGTGATAAGTGCCATATTTTTCCATATAAAAAAAAACTTCGCTGACTGGACTTGTACAAATATCTCAAAAATTTAGCCGGTGACTGGAAGAATATATAATAGCCTTTTCCGAATAGAAATATTAATACGATTAGGTTTTTATACACAGAAAAAATTAAACAACATAACATTTGCGAAAAAAAATACGCACATCACACAAATATAGGACATCAACAGGATCTGAAACTGCTACGAAGAAAATAAACAAATATTTGAAGTTGAAGAAGGCTCACAAGCCAAAAGTTTACAAAGTCAAGCCATAGCTGGAATTCAACAGTCGTGTGTGTTAGAGAGAGAGAGACATGGAATCACGATAATCTCATTCGAACACACCACTGCTACCCCCCCCCCCATCCTCTACTCCTCTGCATATTCATGTTGAATGGGTTTGGATTTTTGCTTTTGTTCTGTGTGCTTCAAAGTCGTACACCCAGGAAATTAGCTGGTTGGTGGAAAATTACACAAAATGAAGGTAATCATTACATGACTATCCTTCAAATAAATCGAATTGCATCGGAAAGTCGCTGAAGAGCCTTTGTTGAAAAGCAGGAGAAGTAGACAGAGCATGGGTATTCGGTGAAATAGAATATTAAGTATTAGTACAGAGTTGAATACGTAATACAAAAACGATTTTGAATATGGAAATAAGGAAGTCATTTGACAACCAGAGCCGATTTAAAGTCGCAGTGGAACAATGTGTATCAGAAGTGCATTTTTAATTTACATGGCATTTCATGGTCAGTGTGAAGCCACTGATCACTTTTGAGAAGTTTATGTAATAACCTATTTAGACACAAAATATTCTTACACTAAGACCATAAAAATGTGTTCAGAATGGAAATTTCAAAGACGGGGGTAACCTTTATGTTGAATGGTATTGGAAAAAAAAAGAATAAGGATCAACTCTGAGTATCAGGACCGTTCCAGAAAGGTACATGCAAAAAGTCGTACCTCAGGCGTGATAAGCTATGTGTGGCGTTTTGTAACACTTAAGAATTCACAAATGCAAAGGTCATTGGTAAAAGCTATTGATATGCCACAACATTATCAAGAAGGATCTCTGTCTAGAAAATTGACAAAGGTCACGTGTACACAAGCTGCTTTCATGGCATATTAGCTCAACCGTCACATACCCATGCAGCTGGAGAATGAAACAGGTATTCATGCTGTTATAGATATCCATAAGAAGACATAGTGGTCAATTTGTCAGATGAAGCACTCATGGATTTTTGAGCAATTGGACATATGAAAAGGGAGCTGGGAAACCGTTTTCCTCCTACTTTACATAGATTGTGGAAAGCACACACAGGGAGTATGGGTGTGCTTTGGACCTGACATCCTTACGTCGGAATCTTTTATAATGGAAACTACACTGCATGAATATTGTCAAGATGCATGGAGGTTCTATAAGGAAAGCATGACCGGACATGGTGACAATAACTGTAACGATGTGGTGAAGCTCCAAAATCGTTTTAATATATCGTACTCAACCAAACTCTATATATCAAACTTAATGATGGTTTCTGAAGAATGTAAGTGACCTCCTGTGAGCTGAGGTCGAACAACAACCATACATTCTCTTCAAATGAGCCCCCCCCCCCGCAGTGGCACAGCGGTATACCTGTCCACTTTGTAAGACAGGATTTAAGATGTAATAACTCCACAGTGGCGCAGCGGTACGTTTGCGGACGTACAACGCTATAATCCGGGTTTCGATAACCGTGGTGGGCAGAGCACAGACAGCCCATTGTGTAGCTTTGTGCTTAATTAAAAACAAATCTTCAAATGGTGAGTCTATTTATGTCATGTATTAAATGTTTGATACCCTTTGGTCAAAAACAGTATATAGATGTGAATTTTTTTAGAAAGATATATAACATTTCTACATGTTAGAAAAACAACTAAAGTATATATTTCGGGTCATTCTCGAAAAGGGAAGAAATTATTTACATAAGATTATTAAAAAAAACAAGTTGAAATGCAGATGCTAGATGTTTATAGATAAGGAATAGAAATGTGAGACTAGAAACTAACATATAGACAGGTAGATATTAGGTTGTGCTAGAAAGGAAGTTTAAATACATTTGTCAGCTTATTTTAGGAAAACTAGAAATATATATATGCACATACACACGTGTTTATACGTGAGTTTTGTGCAAATCATTCAAACGAGGTTAAATTGTATCTATTAACTAATACCAAATAGATATAAACAGAAAATATGTTGTCATGTCATTAAGATAGAGCAGGCAGCGTTAGAACACAACAGAAGCAAGTACCAGATGTTATCATAACTCAGTAAATAACATAAGTCAAACATTTTTGAAAAATAATGGCACTGTATCTTATAAGATTATCCCTAAAAGATAGTGAGTGGTCTAAAAATAGCACGATGATACGCGAAAAAGTGAAATACTTCTTTCTGTTTGAAAGTTTGAAACTGGACGCCATTTGTTGTTCCTTTTCTTTAAGGTGCTTTACGAATATATTTTGACAAACTTCGTGAGTTTGCTTTTGACATGTCGATTATTTTTTGGACTAGATTTCTAGAATTCTGTAGTACTGTCGACATTTTCTGTATACTCACTCCTCAATGTTATGTGAATTTATCGAAGGAACATAACCCAAAACATGGAGTATTTCACCTTGTTATCCTGTTGCATTAATGTTATCGCATTTTTCTTTACGCTTGAAATGTGATTGTTTTTACATGTTTATGATCACTTGTTCGCTGCAATGTTTTTATTTTATTGTGCATATTCAAGAAAGCACGATAGCAAAACCATTAAAATTTATAATGTTGTTAAATTTGACATCCTCTCTGTAATTTCTAACGTTCTTCTGGGATAATGATAAATGTTATCTGGACTTAGAACAGTTTTAACATCACGCGAGCAGTGCTGTGTTCAACATTGGTATCGAAGTTGTCAACTCGAAAAGCATCTTATGAGAACAAGAGTTAACTGACAAAGTTAGATTGAATGTCATTTCTATAACGCGGAAAGTGTGTAACGCAATTAGCGCATAGCAGCTAGAACCTTGGAGTTTCCGATAGTCAGCTTGGCGCGCTAATCACTA